CTTTTCTGTGATGAAAATTGACTATTTATACGTTTATAAAACGTAAATATGTTTATTTTCTTAAATCGTTTTAACTGATATTTATTTATTTTTAAAATAAAAATAGTTAATATATTATTATATTCAATATTTATATTTTATTTTAAGAATTTTTTTATATGGATATTTTGAAAGTTATAGGCTAGATTTTTAGCTCAATCACTTAAAAAAAAAAATCTTAAAGTCTTTTTAAATTCTATCTACCCGTAAACTATAGTAAAATATTTTATTATTTAGACATCTAAAAAAAGCATTAAAGCAAATTGCATTGTTGAACTAACTAAATAATTAAAAATAAAATTTAGACTTGTATGTGTGAAATTTGTTGATTGGTGTTATTTGGTTTGCACTTATAAAGCTAATTTTTGTTTTCTTTTATTAGTATTTTTTGCTATTTTGATATTAAAGGAAAAATAATTATTGTCATTTATATATTTAAAAGTAGAAAAATATACAAGAGAAAAAAATATAATTAATAAAAAATAGTTTATAAAAGTGAAAATAAAAATTAAAAAAAAATTCAAATTCAAATTATTAAATTTAAATAATTTTTTAAAAATTTACGAGTAAATTGTGTTTGATATCACGACTTTATAAAAAATATTATCAAACACAATTTCAGTTTTTATTTTTTTTAAACGAAAACAAAAAAATTAACATCTTCTTTTTATGAAATCAAGCACAGTTTACTAATTTATGTAATTTAAAAAAATTAAAATTAGTAATTTAGATTTAAAATTACACAATTTTGTTTTTATATGTGTATAAATTTAATACATACATATGTCATCTAAAATTTAAGATACTTATAAGTCGTAAGAAAGAATTGAATTTATTATCCAATCTTATTAAAATGTTTGAGTTAGATTAGATCATTTCTTTATAAATTCAAACTAAATTTACATAATCAATTTTGGGTTGGTTTGAAAGTTGTAGGTCCCAACCCACCCAATAACATGAGAACTAGAATCAGAATTTAAAGCAGTTAAATTAGTTACGAAGGTATTGAGTAATTTTCTTTTCTTTTTTTTTTTTTTTCATATTTCATCAAAGCCATGATAATTAGTACATCAATTCACTTCTTCATTGAAAAAATTTGTCCTTAAGTTCCTCATATTTGACTTAATTTATGACTTTGGTCTTCTTAATTTTTATTTCAATTACTTGCATTTAATTCTTATAATTTCTAATTACTGTCACATTTCATCTAATCATTAATATAACCGCAATAAACCTGTGATATATATAATTAATTTAAGAAAACGTTTCACTAAATTGTAATTTCGGTTCTTCTTAAATTTTTCATACATAATTTTGACTTCTTTATTTTAATTTTTGCAATTTTAATATTTATATTTTAGAAAATTTACAATTTTATTCAATGTTCAATTTTGCTTGTTTTATTCGTTTATATTGGTCCAACGAATGTTATGTTCAATAGTTTCATTTATAGACCATAAAAATAATTTAATTAATTAAAATAAAATAAATAAGCATATTTAAAATTGAGAATTATACCAAGCTATAGATTTATGCAATGTATAGACTAAAATAAAAACCAAACAGAGAGGCCAAAATAAATTACCTACGAAGAATTATTGGGGAATAAAAATGTAATTTAATCAAGCAATAAAAAATAAAATAAAAATTATAAAATACAAGGAAAACTTATTTTTATTTCATTATTTAATTTTTACAAATTTGTATTTGTAAATATATACAAATTAACGATATACTTCACTTTTAGTAGGTTCTTTTATTAATTATTGAATTTAAAATTTAAAGAATTCCAAAATTATTATGAGAATTAAATTTGAAAATTAAAACCAAAGAGACCTAAACTACATATATAAAGGATGAAGTAGGAACCCAAAAAATTTAATTAAACCTACATTATTGACCTTTCTATCTCTACCCACCTAACCTCGTCACTAGTGCGGAATATGGCTTTTACGTCACCCAATTGTCGTCGCATGCACGTATATTCGACGTAAATAAAACGCAGTGGCAATTTTGTAAATATGGGACAAAAATTTACGTCGCACACCCCAATAGGAGACGTAAAAGTCATCTTTTACGTCGCACCTGGGAGGCGCGACGTAAAAGATGGCCTTTACGTCGCGTACGGGGGACGCGACGTAAAAGCCTTAGCTTTTACGTCGCGCCCCCTGTACGCGACGTAAAAGGCCATCTTTTACGTCGCGCCTCCCGTGTGTGACGTAAAGATGACTTTTACGTCGCTACTACACTGCGCGACGTAAAAAGTCTATTTTATTTCCCTCCAAGTCCCACTTCCTCGTCTCGCGCAACCAGGGTTTTTGAGAACGACGACGAGAACAACGACAACGACTACCTCGCACACCATTTGCGAGCGGTTTACGGTGAAAAACATCTACATTGTCGTGTCATTTGACGAACTTCATCTTTCTCCCCGATTGGATTCGAGTTTGAAATCGGTTTTCGTCTACACTCGAGGTTAGTGTTCATTGTCATTGCTATATGTTTACATTGAATCCGTGATTGTTTTTGGGGATCTCAATCACGTTATAGTATGAATGTCTCCACTGGATTGTTATTGGAATGCGGTTATTTGTTTATTTGTTTGAGTGCATTCGGTTTACACACTCCATTGTTGTTGGAACGTGCTTTGTTGTTTGTATATTAATTTTTTTTTACATATAATTTTTAAATCTTTAGGAGTGACGAAACTTTATAACATAATATGAATCGAAGTTGGATGAATGCACGTCGTATTAGTGAAGAGTACGAAAAGGGAGTTGAGGAATTTCGAAATTTGCTAGTGAAAATGGAAAAGCTATGAAAGGGACATATTATTGTCCATGTGTTCGTTGTTTGAATCAAATTCGTCATAAACTTGAGGATATACGTGATCACTTGTTTGTTTATGGTATTATTAAGAGTTATACAATATGGACATGGCATGGAGAAATATTAGACATCCCAACCGTGTCAACTACGGACAATTTTGATGAAGGGATGGATGATAATCTAGAGGATATGATACGTGATATTGGTGAAGAACATTTTATGAAAGCACATCTATATGATTCTTTGAAATCTGATTTTGCGCAACAATTGTACATAGGATGTAGTTTTACAAGATTATCGAGCAACTTTAAAATTGTTTACTTTAAAAGCAAGAAATGGATGGACTGATAAAAGTTTCACCGAATTATTGGAGTTGTTGAAGGAGATGCTTCCTGAAGATAATACATTACCTATTCGTAACTATGAGGCAAAGAAGATATTATGTCCAATGGGTTTAGAGTACAAGAAAATACATGCATGTCCTAATGATTGTATATTGTACAGAAATGATTTTGCTAAATTAAAGATGTGTCCAGACATGTGGTTTGTCGAGGTTCAAAACCAAAGTTGAGGAAAGTAGTGGTGAGGAAGAACTAGATGGTCCCCCTGCTAAGGTGTTATGGTATTTGCCAATTATACCTAGGTTTAAAAGATTATTTGCCATAAAAGAAGATGCAAGAAACTTGACATGGCATGCAAATGGTAGAAAATGTGACAATCTTCTTCGACATCCAGCTGATTCTCCACAATGGAAAAGGATTGATGAAACCTTTCCAGAATTTGAAATGAAAAGCTTATTACAAGGGTAACTTTATCTTTTATTCATTAATTATGTTTTTAAATTGTGAATACATATTGAATAATATATGACTTTTTTTCACTTAGAATCGTGTTCGGAACTAATGTTCTAAGTGGAAAACCTAGAACAAAGACATTGCAGTTCATTTATCCTAAGGTTAGAAACTTATTTATATAAGTGAATACCATAATTATTGTTTATATTTCAATTTTGAAAATAATATTATGTTTTTTTCATCATTTCGAGTGTAATAAGCAAACTGACTCGTTTGAATGTGGTTACTATGTAATGTATTGGATGAGAGCCATAGTTTGTGCGGGTTTAATTGATTCTTGGACTGGAGGTAATTACTTTTAACATTAGTTAAGTTTATTTAACTTTATTCATGTTGCATGCTTACAAGAGTCAAATTCATGTTTCAGGTATTTCAAGATCCATCTCCATTACCAGAATCCGAGATTACGAAATTAGAGAACAATGGGCAAAATTTTTTGTTCTACAATTCTAGTACATTATTTTTTATGTTCTTGTTCATATTATATTGTGTGTATTATGTAGTTTAGTTTAGTTTGTATAGGTAGCTTAGTTTGTATAGGTAGCTTAGTTTGTAATAGATTTTTTAGTTTGTATGTTTGTATTATTTTGTTTTATTATGTAGTTTGAATTATATAATATTATATTTTTAATTTACTAGCAAAAGAAATCTGCTCTGACTGTCTGGTTGTAATTTTTGCAGGTTTTAGTTGTAAAACGAGTAAATAAACCCAATTTAAAAAAAAGCGGTAAATTTACGTCGCATATTGGTATATACGACGTAAATTTACGTCGCATATACCAATATGCGACGTAAATTTACGTCGCATATACCATATGCGACGTAAATTCGATCGCATATTGGTATATGCGGACGTAAATTTACGTCGTATATACCAATATGCGACGTAAATTTACGTCGTATATACTGTATGCGACGTAAATTTTCTGTTTTTTTTTTTAAATTGAAAAGGTTTTTACGTCTGTTTATTGTATATGCCACGCAAAATTACGTCGTATCTTCATAACTGACGTAAATCTACGTCGGGTAAAAGGGTCCGACGTAAATTTACGTCTCCCGCTTTTACGTCGGACTTAAATACGACGTAAAAAGCCCTAAATACCTGACGTAAAAGCCCCTTTTTGCACTAGTGTGTGCTAAAGTGGCTGTGATGTCGACCCTTTACAATTAGCTTATGAAATTATTCATTGATTGAGTCGTGTGAACATTATTAGTACAAATTTACAAGGCAGAGAAATAAATCAGAACAATTATTTAGGACTCTAAAGAACCAAGTAAATGTTTAGGTTAGGGATTTACAAGACACTGCATTGAATCTAAAGAAAAGACAATGAAGTTTGTAAATAAGAAACAACCCTCGTGCAGAATTGCACTCTCTGGTGGCAGAAAATGATGGCTATCTGCATAGATAGATGAGTGCTAAAAAGGTATAAAGTGGGTCCCTTATGCATCTGCTTCTCACACACTGTTTCATTTTGATTACAACGAGTAATGCACAGTGCACACCAACAAATGACAACATTTAATTAAAATCAAATGGCGAGTGTCAAAACTCATTGATAAAACATCATTCAGTGTCAAACATTCAACTGTTCCTTTTTAAGATCCCAAAAACCAGAAACATCTAAAGTGGACTATAAATGTCCTTAGAGAGGAGACCCTTGTGTCACCACCACCATAAACTTGGTCACTCACTTTTCTTCTTTCTTAGCTTCAGCAACACCATTTCTTAAAAATGGCCTCTCTCCGTTTTTTCTTCTTAGCTTTCTTCATTGTTTTGTCACTTTGCAGCATTGGTGAGGTCCAAGCTCATAGAAAACTTTTGGCTCCATCATTTCCTGGTTTTGGAAACATTCCTACCTTTCAAGCTCCCCCAGGGATCGACTGGCCTGAGTACAGGTTGCCTTCATTCCTGAGACCTAATTACCCTCCAATTCCCTCAGGCTTCTACCGTTACACTCCACCTGCCACCACAACCGCAACCACAACCCAAACTTCTTCCAAGCCTTGAGGACATGCATACAATTTGGTATCCTCATACATATATTGTTGTTATATTAGCAGTAAAATAAAGGGTCATGGCCATACGCAAGCCTTCTCACCATGTTTATTTTCTGCTTTAATTTCTCTTCCTTGTCGATCACATCATTTAGCTCCCTGTTTTTTGTCCACAATGTTTGGTTTATGAATGAACAAAATGTACTTGTTTCTTTAATATTACTACAAATATATCATTACTCACGACTCTTCTTTTATTCAAATCGAGATTTTGAATTGTCGGTTATCATTGTAGTCGCGGTTTTTGCCTTCAAATATCATCACAATAATTGAAAGAGTAGTTCTTCTCTATTCTTACAATATTTTTTGGAAAATTATATTTTAATAAACAACTATTTTTAATAATATAAGCAGTAATTAATCGAATATATATTTTACGTGAGCTTGAATTCATCATACATGGACTGTTAAAACATTTAACAAAAAGATTATTTATAAAAGAAATGATGAGTGTTTACCAGTAGTAGTATGTACAAAGAATAAGATCATCTTTTTTTTTTTTTACTACAATAATTGTTACTATTTAGTGACGGAAAAAATAGACATTAGAATGGTTTCCTTTATTCATTTATTTAATAAAGAAAATGATAGATGAGCATTAATATTAAAGGAGTGATAATGTATTTTAGTAGTATATTTAATGTGTTAAAGCTATATATCAATTTTGTGCATCAATAAAATGATCTATTAATATATGTACCATTATTTATAAACTTTTAATATCTATATTATATAAATAACATATCAATTTTCATAAGAAAAATTATACCCAAGAAACTTATTCAATATCAAATAAAATAGTGTTTGAAATATAGTTTTTGCATTATTAAAAGAGGGTATTAGATTTTTAAAACCTATATAAACAATGGTCCTATATATGAAGGGCGCTCCAGTAACACATTAATGTTGGAGTTAATGACACGTATCTTTTAAGGGGCACTTTATTCTTTGTTAGATATGGAAGCTGTATTGTACCTTTCAAGTTAAGACTCTAATAAAAGGAGCAAAGACATGCCTAAAATATTTGCATGTAATATGATTTCATGTAATTTTTTTAATATTAATGTGGAAATCATGTTACATACTATTTTTTTTAATGTTTTTATAATTATAATTAATAAATAATACGAATATGTAATATTTTTGGATTATATATTTTTTACACAATAATATTAAATTGATAAATTAAATTAAAAAATAAGATAATTTTGGATAATTTAATTTAAATAAAAAATATAATTAAAATTGGTTATATATTTAGATATTTAATATTTGATAATTTATGTATAATTTAGAGTGAAAAGGAATAAATTGTACGTACTACGTACAATAATAATTATTGAAAATGAAACACAACAATAAATTATAAATATTAATATGAATATTAAGAATATTTAACTAAAATATGGAACAAAAATCATCAAGTGGCTGTAGTTTAGTGGTAAGAATTCCACGTTGTGGCCGTGGAGACCTGGGCTCGAATCCCAGCAGCCACATATTATGTGTTGTCTTTTTCGTAGTTTGAAATAGATTTTTATTGGATTTAGGGGGTGGCCCAAATTTTGTTCCACTTCAATCCATTATTTACTTCCAAAATGTCATTTCTATGTATTGATATCATGAAAATGATGAATAAATACAAATCCTTAGTTTGAGCACTTTGTAAGGCCATAATTTTAAGATGTTTAAGCACTACACGACTTATGTGAACAAAGGAGAGAATGCTTTCAAAAAATAGACCCAACATATTCTTAGTTCTGAGATTCCATTGATGTGCAATTTGGGAGTGCACAACACAACTTTATAAATCATACACCAAATTTTATTTTATACTCCGTTGAATGATCAACGCACAATACATAGTAAAAATGTAGAATTTACTCGTATAGTTTTTTTAAGGATAAAATATAGAATTAATATTTGAATATTGTATAATATGTTAAAATAATCTTTATAAAATTTTTGCATTAATTTAGTCTAATATGAAAACATGGATTTTAGTCTTATTGTTTAATTTCATTTTAAAATTTACTTAGGTAGCGGCAGCTTGAGAAAATAAGTTGTCTTTATAAAATACGTTTTTTTCATTGTTAAGTTTGTGTGGGGATTAGAGGATGAATTTAAAGAAGTGGAAATGAGTGAATTTGAAGGGAAAAAGAAGTAAAATTAGGGTTGTTTGAATTAAAGAAAAGTTAATTAGAAATAAGAGAAAATTTTGTGTATAATATAATTGATTTGACAGATTAAAAAATTAAAATTTAATTGATAAAATGGTTAAATTATAATTTTGTCCTTGACTTAAATAAATATTTGAGAATAAAATATAAGTTAAGTAAATAATGTTAAAATTAGATGTGATATATTATTTAAAATATATAAAAATTTAATATATGAATTTATTATAATATAAAATATATGAGTTGGAAATTAATTTTAAAAAAATTGGCATAATTTGTTTAAATGAAATAAAATTATAATTTAAATTAATAAAATTATTTTAAATTAATTATAAAGTTAATTTAATTTAAGTATATGATTAAGAATGAAAGTTGATAAAATAAATTGCATACTAAATTGTAAAATTATAGAAAATAAATTAAAAGTCAATAGAAACAAATATATAATGTGAGAATGTCCTGATGATATGTAATAATAAACATGAATATAAACATTAAACAAATTAAGACATCAATTCTATTGAAATGAGTTCTTAAAGTCGTTAAATTGTTTATCCAAATAGTTAATTCTATCATGAACCTTGTCAAAACTTGTGCTTGTTAACATTTTGGTTTATATTAACTAAACAATCTTCCATTTGCTGTATTCCTGCTTGCATGTTTTGAATCCTCCCAAATTTGTTATAACATTTGACCATTATGAGGGACTGAATGCGGCTGAACTAATTCATGGTGGAAAGAACCTTCTTGTCCAAGGTCAACTAATTCATGATCAGTTCTTGTCCAAGGTTGACTGCATCATTTTCAGGTATTGTGGAAGAACTCATCAACACCACACCTAGCATCGCCCACCAACACACAACTGATCATAACACGCGCAATAACTCTCTAGAGCACCAACACCACCCACCAGTAGCAACATCACCACCACGACTAGCAGTGTTCCCAATCTACACCACGACAATCAACTCACACTAGTAGCACACCCAACTCACCACCAACACCATGCATTCCCCTCACGACAACAACACCCACACCAGGAGTAACACCTCCACCACCCAACTGGACATGAACACCACACACAAACTCACCACAACACCACCCACAACTTACCACCAAACAGTACCAACACGACCACAACACCACAACCACAACTCCACAACGGAGGAGAGACACTTACAACCTACAAACCTAGGCAACACACATAAATGATCACATGTACATGCAAGAATCGATTCTCCTCCATGTCAAACGTGTCGAGAATCAATTTTATTAGAGGGGAGAATCGATTTTGTTTAACGAGCAGCACCACCACCATTATACAACTCACTAGCCGCACCACCAACACCACACGTGCCACTCACAATAGCAACACTCATACCAGTAGCAACACCTCTACCACTCAAATGACCACGAACACCACCCACAAACACACAACAACACCACTCACAACTCACCACGGACCAGCACCAACACGACCACAACCACACAATGGAGGAGAACCACTTACAACCTACAAACAAGGCAACACACATCAATGATCACATGTACATGCGAGAATCGATTATCAAACGAGATCGAGAATTGATTATCAAACGAGATCGAGAATCAATTATCAAACGAGATCGAGAATCGATTATGGTCTTAGGGAGAATCAATTCTCCATGCGTGAAAGAAGCGAGAATCGATTCTCTATGATTTTCTCCACCTTTCTTAGTCAGTCTCTCGACAAGCACCACCACGAATGCACACCACACACACCAAACCAACCTCAACGAACTCACCTCTCATAGATGAATCACATGAACTCACCTCACACACGAACGAACAATTCACCTCCATGAACGACTCCTTATGCGTATTTAATGATACTCTTGTTGTGACACGAACACCACTATAACTGCATGTGAGGGTTTTGGTTGAGCTGCAATAATTCCCGCATGAAAGAAATGCATGCAACCTCTAAAATGACTCCCCTGATTCATTGTATGCATGCACAAAGCCACGTGAAGAACTAGTGATAACACTATTATGGATTCCTGAGAGGAGGACAAGAATGTAAGTTCACTCTCCTTCCCCTTTATTTTCTTGCTTTTCTCCTCAAGTACGCGAGGGCTCACCCACTCTTCCTCAAATCCGTCCACGTCTTTCTCTTTAAATTCATGGATACAAATAGCAACGACTCACATTCTTCCATTCACGTGAACAGTAAATATGTTGAAACAAACACAACATAAATGTCTTCTTTATGTAATTAGTCCTTCTAATTTTTTTATATTGATTTAGTTTCTATAAAAAATTAAATGATTTTTTTATTATGTTTTTAAACTTTGTAATAATTTGTTTATATTGGTTTAGTTTCTATAAAAAAAAATGTAATAACAATAGGTGAAAATGTACTATGTTACTATCTCCATGTCAAATGTTGAAAGTTTCAAGATTTATGTGTTATCGCATTGTTTCTATTGTAAAATAGTTTGTTATTCAATTATTTTGATTTTTTTACACATGTCTCTCTCTCATGCTCTAATTTTATGCTAAACCACTTTAATCACTATGTGAATTCTTTTTTACTTATTACACTAGCAAGCGTAAACTACTTATCAATTTAAAGAATATGTAGAATAATACCCACAAATTGACTAATATTTAAAACAACAATCAATAGAAAATCAATTTTTAGTCATGATCTTTTGCATACTAACTTAATGAGAATATTTATAGATTCATCTTAACTATGAACTCGGATTTTCAATATTAACATAAACATGTTCAAGTAACTATAAATTGCTAAAAAAAATGACAAGAAAAATAAATTACACAAAATATAAATGTGCAAGAAACATAAATGTGCGAAAAAAAAAGTAAATTGTAGAAAAAAATGAATCTAACTCGTTACCAAGGATAAAATAAAAATTGGTAAATAAAATCAATAAAGATGACAATCCAAAATTGTAAGAACTTCATTGAAAATTTTTGTTCCGTATTTGTAGCATTTATCATAGTGTAAGTCTTAGTATAATTTGACATCACCCCAAATTGCACTTATTAAATCTTATTTATACCTTAGTTTGTGTAACCACTAAGGGAATAAAAGAAACACAAAAAATAAAATAATATAAGATGATTTCTTTTCCTATTACCGCTCCCCTATTTTCTCGAGCAATTCCATTGTCACGGAGAACTTGTAACTGTTCATACCACGTAGTGGATTACATCTTCTTTTGTATGCATTTCGATTATATAAGTTTCTTCTCAATCCCTTGTCTTTATTGATTCTCTAAGTCTTCGATTTACCATTTTTATCATTCTCTCGATCACCCCCTTCAGTTAATATGAATCTTTAATTTTTTTAATTCTTTGATTTTCACCTCTATCATTATGAACCCTTTAATTTCTTTTATCAAATCTTTCGATCAACTCTTTAATATCTCAACTCTCATTTTTCAAACCCTCTCGATTTTCACTATCTCGATCATCAAGTATTGTCTCTAACTTCAATATTCTTTTTCAACTTATTCTTTTGATATATTTATAAATTTCCCATCAATACTAAGATAAATGAATTATTTTGTGCAAATAAGCTATTAGGATCTACACAGGTTGGATGAGACTTGTCCTCTAATTTAATAAAGCTCATAATCCTATCTAATAAAACAAATAGATTAAGCTTTTATATATATACTTTTTTTACCATATAATTTTTTTTACCTAATCCAATTTATTTTTAATTGAATTTGATTTAGTTGTATTGATAGGATTTTAATGTTTTAAAAAACTTATTAAATTTTTTAATTTTAATTTTTTTAATTTAGAATATTTTTAAAATAATTATTTATTATTTAAATGATTTAATAATCTAATATTTTAAATATATATATATAATAACTAAATAAATTAAATAATAAATATATTATTATTACTATCAATGTTAAAATTATTTAATAATTTTGATTTAGTAACTTAGATTAAGTCTTTGATTGAAGAAATAAAATTCATTATCCAACCTCTAAGAGATTAGATTAGATTATAATAGATTTTTCAGAAAAGTCCCAACTCAGAATTTTCTCTTTATTATAAATCAGATTTGCCTCCGCAATATATATTATCAATTACATTAATGACATTACAAAGTTGAAAAAAAAATGTTTAGATTTTACAGGTGTGATTATTTTAATAAATAGGCCATTTTACAATGGCAAAAAAAATAAAATTATGAAGAAACGTTACTCTTGATTTACCATGTAGCAAATTTGTAACGGAATTAAAATATTTGAAAAGAAAAACATATTTAAATTTTATAGGAAGTGAACTAACACAAAAAAAATTATAACTACTACTTTAAGCTACATTTTACAAGAACCAAAATTAAATATTTAATTTTTTTAATTTATTAAAAAAAGGCGATGTAAGAGTCCAAAATTCACATATTGGCCTTCTCAAATGCTTGTACTCTTAAATTCAACTTTTTTTAAGCCTCCTTTTAGATTGGTTTATATAATATCCAGAAGTATAAAAACTTCATTTGAAAGTTCATTCAGGACATGAGAAACACATTAGGATAAAATTTACATAAAAGATTCATCACAAGTGTGGTAGTATAGAAACTAAGAGTTTTGTTCATTATAATGTTTCTCCATAACTGTTCTTAACAATTTCTTTTAAAATACTCTAAACAAAAATTAAACGGATAATTACTTTATGCATATTCATACTTTTTTTCTGGTAACTGTGTTTTATTTTATGGATGGACTAATATAGAATTAAAGTTTATATTTAAGAATTAATTAAGTACTTCTTCATTATTTTTTACTCTTTATTTCAAGCACCCATATTCATATTAAAAATCATAATACTTTTATGGAATTATTGATGATAAACATATTTTAGAGTATTCTAATTTTATAAATATTGTTTTAAGATGAATAAATTTTAAAAGATATATATTTTTTAAGTTTTTTGAAATATAAAATCCGAAGCATAACTTTATTATTTGAGAAAGATGAATTAAAAAAAGTTTTCAAATAAATAAATTTTAAAATCTTAAAAAAAAAAATCAATCTTTTAACACCTAACGTTGGCGCAAAATCAGGAACTTCATTTTTTATATATATTTCGAATTATGTATTTCAAAGAAAAATTATTGTTTATTCCATAACTTATACCATTCTAGATTATATATTTTTTATAATGTTTATTTTAGTTCCGAATTATCCAACTAAATAATTTCTGGATTGATTTGAAAGTATTTTAGAAACACAATTTATTTTAGGTAGGGACAATAGTGTCTTTTCGAATAAATATTTTGTGCAGAGTTAACGTATAAACCAGCGTTGATTTGAAGTGTGAATCTTTTCTGCTTTTTAGTATAATTTTTCCGAAATTACGTTTTTCATCTTAACTTTTGTCTAAAATAACAAACTTACAATAAGACAATGATTTCTAGAAGTTAAAAGAAAAATACATTAATTATTTAAATACAAAAAAAAATCTATAAAATTCCAATTTTTATTTGTCAAAAATGTCTTTTTATTCTATCAATTTATATAATTAATTTTTGCAATTATCACATCCTTTATATTTATTTTTTTAAAAAATTGATATTATAATAATTAGAAATCTGAATTCAAATATAGTTAATTAGACCATTACACACAAGCATAAAAATAAATTAAAATTTTTATTACACTATTAAATGAAGGTGTTGGAATTGATGAATCTTTCCTAAATAAAATACAAATAGAGATAGGGAAGTGAGGCCGAAGAAGCAGACAAGCATTGCCAGCAACGACGCCAACGCATTTCCTTCTCGGACCTTCGCATATCTGTAAGATTTCAGTCTTCCTCTGAAGCTTAATAGTTTTCTCTCTAACTTTCCCTCAATGCCATAGTGTTCTTCTTGCTCTCGGAGACAAGAATGGAGATCAGAAAAATAAAAAAACCATTTTAGATATTTGCAATTCATTTATGGATTTATTTATGCTGATTGAATATCATTAAGGTTTTTCAAATGTTAGCTAACCATGCATGCCACTGATTGAACTTTTGTTGTTTTTTTTCTGTCTTTTATGTATATATGTATCTATGTTTTATTCCTCGAAGCTGGTTTTGTATGAAAATGAATTTTCGGATATTTTTTAGGCGGATCATGTAGTTTCAAAGGATACGGAGTATCTGATTTTCTAAATTTATGGGAAAATGAAATTCTTTGGTGTGTTAGTTATATATACATATATATTTTTTAATTTACTTATTAGTTAATATGGTGATTGGATTGCAATCCATGTGACTTTGCAGGGGATCATAATCGTGCTCCAATAGGATGGGGAATATTACTGAAGGGAAGTTGAGGTTTTGCATAGACAGAGGAGGCACATTTACTGATGTTTATGCAGAAATCCCGGGTCGGTCTGATGGCCAAGTTTTGAAGCTTCTGTCAGTTGACCCTTTGAACTATGATGATGCACCGGTGGAAGGGATTCGGAGGATCCTTGAAGAATTCATTGGTGAGAAAATTCCTCGCACCTCGAAGATACCAACTGATAAGATTGAGTGGATAAGGATGGGTACAACTGTGGCAACAAATGCACTTTTGGAGCGCAAGGGAGAAAGGATTGCAGTATGTGTGACTCAAGGCTTTCGTGATTTACTCCAGATTGGTAACCAGGCTCGCCCCAGTATATTTGACCTGACTGTGTCAAAGCCTTCAAATCTCTATGAAGAAGTTGTTGAGGTTGAAGAGAGAATTCAGCTTGTTCAGTCTGAGGGAGAAGAAGAAAAGCAGGGTGCTTCTTCATTTCTGGTTAAAGGAATTTCAGGTGAGCTTGTCAGGATTGTGAAGCCTCTTAATGAAGAAGCGCTGAAGCCTGTACTGAAAAGTTTATTGGAGAAAGGAATTAGTTGTTTGGCTGTTGTTCTGATGCATTCATACACTTATCCACAGCATGAGCAACAGGTCGAGAAGTTAGCTTTGAGTCTGGGGTTCAGACATGTTTCTATATCATCTGCTTTGAGTCCCATGGTGCGTGCTGTTCCTCGTGGTCTAACAGCTAGTGTAGATGCTTATCTGACCCCAGTTATTAAAGAATATCTATCAGGATTCATCTCCAAATTTGATGAGGGAATTGGAATGTTGAATGTTTTGTTTATGCAATCAGATGGAGGACTTGCTCCTGAGAGTTCCTTCTCAGGCCACAAAGCAATTTTGTCTGGCCCTGCTGGAGGAGTTGTTGGTTACTCACAAACTCTTTTTGGTCTTGAAACAGATAAGCCATTAATTGGGTTTGATATGGGAGGAACATCTACGGATGTGAGTCGATATGCTGGTAGTTATGAGCAAGTTCTGGAAACGCAAATTGCTGGTACCATCATTCAAGCACCTCAGCTTGACATAAACACGGTAGCTGCTGGCGGTGGTTCAAAGTTGAAGTTCCAATTTGGTGCCTTTCAAGTTGGACCAGAATCAGTTGGAGCACACCCTGGTCCTGTATGTTACAGGAAAGGTGGAGAGTTGGCAATAACTGATGCTAACCTAATTCTTGGATATGTTATTCCTGATTATTTCCCTTCTATATTTGGGCCAAATGAAGATCAGCCTCTTGATGTCAAGTCAACAAGAGGAGAGTTTGAGGAGCTTGCTAGGCAAATAAATGCTCACCGAAGGAATCAGGATCCATCTTCAAAAGTCATGACGGTGGAAGAGATTGCACTTGGGTTTGTGGATGTTGCTAATGAGACAATGTGTCGTCCAATAAGGCAGTTGACTGAAATGAAGGGCTATGAGACAAAGAACCATTCACTTGCGTGCTTTGGAGGTGCTGGACCTCAGCATGCTTGTGCTATTGCTAGGTCGTTAGGTATGAAAGAAGTGCTCATTCACAAATTTTGTGGGATCTTAAGTGCATATGGAATGGGATTGGCAAACGTTGTAGAAGAGGCACAGGAGCCTTATTCTGCAGTATATGGAGCTGAATCTAGTATTGAGGTCTCACAGCGAGAAGCTGTTTTACTGCGAAAGGTAAAGCAGAAGTTGAAAAATCAAGCATTTAAAGAGGAAAATATTTCAACAGAGACATATTTAAACTTGAGATATGAAGGTACAGACACTGCCATCATGGTCAAAAAGCAAATAGCTGAAGATGGACAATTATATGATTATGCCTCTGAGTTTGTTAGGTTGTTTCAGCAGGAGTATGGTTTTAAAATCCAGAACAGAAATATTGTGATCTGTGATGTTAGAGTTCGTGGTATAGGAGTTACCAATATATTGAGGCCTCAAGCTGTAGAACCTGCCTCTGGCGGTCCTATAGTCGAAGGCTACTATAAGGTTTACTTTGGGAATGGTTGGCAGGAAACACCTCTCTATAAGCTTGAAAAGCTGGGCTTTGGCCATATGATGTCTGGGCCAGCAATCGTCATGAATGGCAATAGTACTGTGATTGTAGAACCCAACTGTAGAGCCATCATAACCAAATATGGAAATATCAAGATTGAAATAGATTCCCCTTTAACCAGTGTTAAAATTTCAGATAAAGTTGCAGATGTTGTACAACTCTCCATCTTCAATCACAGATTTATGGGTATAGCTGAGCAGATGGGAAGGACACTACAAAGAACTTCTATTTCAACAAATATCAAAGAACGACTTGATTTTTCCTGTGCTCTATTTGACTCTAGTGGGGGCCTAGTTGCAAATGCACCTCATGTTCCTGTCCATCTAGGCGCTATGTCTAGTACAGTTCGATGGCAGCTCAGTTACTGGGGTGACAATTTAAGTGAAGGAGATGTTTTGGTGACTAACCATCCATCAGCGGGAGGTAGCCATCTTCCTGATATAACTGTTATTACACCTGTTTTCTTCAATGGGAACTTGGTATTTTTTGTGGCAAATAGAGGGCATCATGCAGAGATCGGGGGTACTACTCCTGGAAGCATGCCTCCATTTTCAAAGTCCATATTGGAGGAAGGAGCTGCCATTAAGACATTTAAACTTGTGGAAAAAGGTGTCTTTCAAGAAGAAGGGATCAGTAAGCTTCTGCAGTTCCCAAGATCTGATGGTCAGGGAAATAAGATCCCAGGATCTCGCAGGATTCAAGATAACTTATCAGATCTGCGAGCGCAAGTAGCAGCAAATCAAAGAGGAATTACTCTAGTTCAAGAGCTCATTGAGCAGTATGGTCCGGAAACCGTTCAGGCTTACATGAATTATGTACAGCTGAATGCAGAAGCAGCAGTAAGAGAGATGCTGAAGTCTGTTGGTAATAGAATTTCATCCAAGTCAAATGAACTTGCGACTGTTGAAGAAGAGGACTACATGGATGATGGATCCATTATTCATTTGAAACTGAGCATTGACTCTAATAAAGGAGAAGCAGTTTTTGATTTTGCTGGGACAAGTGCTGAAGTTTTTGGTAATTGGAATGCACCTGAAGCTGTAACAGCTGCTGCTGTAATATACTGTCTTCGCTGTTTAGTGAATGTTGATATTCCTCTCAATCAAGGTTGTTTGGCTCCAGTGAAGATTCTTATCCCAGAGGGCTCATTTCTCTCTCCTAGTGATGCTGCTGCTGTAGTAGGAGGTAACGTCCTTACATCACAGAGGATAACTGATGTTATATTCACTGCATTTCAAGCCTCTGCTTGTTCACAGGGGTGTATGAATAATTTTACATTTGGGGATGACACTTTTGGTTACTACGAAACCATCGGAGGTGGAAGTGGGGCTGGTCCTACATGGGATGGGACCAGTGGGGTACAATGCCACATGACAAATACAAGAATGACTGATCCTGAGATATTTGAGCAAAGGTATCCAGTAATTCTGCACAAGTTTGGACTTAGAAAAAACAGTGGTGGAGATGGATTTCATAAAGGTGGCGATGGTCTTCTTAGAGAAATAGAATTTAGACGCCCAGTAATTGCTAGCATTCTTTCTGAGAGGCGTGTCCATGCACCAAGAGGGCTCAAGGGAGGGAAAAATGGTGCTCGTGGAGCCAACTACCTTATAAAGAAAGATAAGCGAAAGATTTATCTTGGTGGTAAGAATACAGTCGAGGTGCTTCCAGGGGAAGTTCTTCAGATTTTGACTCCTGGTGGTGGTGGATGGGGTTCTCCATTGTGAAGGTTCTTGTCTGCTAGATGAGAAAATTGTTAGTAAAGAACTTGATGTTTGATATTTTGGTTACATGGCATTAGAAGTTGTGTTGTTATCATGGATTGATATGCAATAAACTCTTGCATGCACATCAATAAAACTAAATAATTGGATCTATATATTAATACATATGTTCAATTATTTTCAGAAATTTAACCCTCAACATGATCACACAATTTCCTTCACAATTCGGCAACAGACATTTTTTTTATTTCATAATGTTGAGACGTCTCTACAAGACATATAATCAGTGGAATCCTTCTCACAATGGTCGGATGCCCAATCAGTGCCATTGCAGTTAGATTGTGATATGCCTAGTGATTAGTATGAAGGTTATTCGCCTCTATCAACTTCTTCAATTTCAACTTGGAATATGAAAGTAACTTAACAAGGCTGCAAAAGCTGTCCTTCAAAGTTAATGTTTCTGCAAATGCAGTACAATGATGGATGTTATTCCTATCCTCATATTTATTGGTAGTTGTCTCTTGATTGACCAAGACATGTGAAGGTCACCGTAGTTGCATTGAGTTGAGAGTGCTTGTTTAACAAATTTTCATATCAATAAACTTTTTATTTAAATAAATATCTCTTCAAATATTAGTACAAAATATAACAAGAAAAATAAATAATTTAAAATTTTCATCAATTAAAATTAACTTGTGATTATCACAGTAGGAAAAGTTAGATCTGCCGCTAATTGAAATAAATAAGTTGATTTAATTTAAGATAGAAATTTAATTCATTTTATTATTTTATGTTCTTATCCTGAGAAAGTTTATGAAAATAGTATCCAAATTTCAAGAAAAAAAGACGAATAAAGAACTGCTTTGTAGTTCAAGAAAACAATCTTGAAAGTTGAAAACATATAAAAGGAAAATATTCTAAGGGAAAAAACTGCCTTAAAATGCTTAATTCTTCATTAATATTTAAATATATCTTTATATATATACTTTTTCACGTAAAAAAAATTTATACCGACAAACATGTAAAATATAATAAATTTAAAAAATTATTTTTTATGTAAAAATTTATATATATATATATATATATATATATATATATATAATTTTTAATTAATAGAAAATTTCATTTCAACTATTTTTTTACCTCATAATTCATTTTAGTTAATGTTTTGTTTACATGAGATGATAAGAATTAATTATCATATTTAAGATATTATTTTAATAAATAATGTTTCTTTTATTTCCAAAATTCAAAAGTGAAGAGTGTTTTATCTAAACTAAATCTTAGTCCATCATTTATAACTTAATAATACATAACCATATTTTTAATTACAAAACCAGACTAATCACCTATTTTTCCATTATTGTCCCTCTTCACACTGTATATTTAGAAAAGTAATTATGGACCAAAAAGTATTTTTCATTAAAAAGTCACGAGTCTATTGTTTTAGAGATATTTAATAAAAATAATAATTGAACTGATTTATAAATAAAAAATGCCACAATATAAATATATATATATATATATATATATATATTCATGTAAATTTTAATTTCATAGACCAAAACGAAATTTATATTAATCACAATTATAATTATAAAATTAAAATTGATAATTTATCATTCTCATTTAAAGATTAAATATTTAAAAAAAATATATATAGTATAAATAGATTAATAATAAAAACTATTGCAATATTAAAGGAAAAATATATAAAATATTATATATTAAATAAGGGTGTAGAATGAGATATATTTTAAATAACATATTGTAACATACCGATACCTCCTTTTTAAATAAACAAATTATAAAGTAATTAAATAAATTATTAATTAACATATTACCATTGACGTTGCGTGTAAGAATTAACGTTTGATAGTAGTTCAAAATGTGTTTTTTCAGTAATAAATTGATTAAAATTGGTTTTGTTATCTCATTTAAAATATTTATTTATTGATTCATATATTAACTTTCAGCTAAAATTTTTCGTCAATGCCATCTAAAAATTTGAATTTAGTTATAATTCAACTTCACAACATCAATAAAAATAATTCTTAATTTATATATTATTTATAGTGGATGTCAAGTTTATCACTCATTCATTTGACATCGTATTTTTTTAAAAAAATATTTAATTAATTTTGATTTTATGTTTACAACGACTTCTATCAATAGATTGAAGTGAAATAGTTTTATTGTATTTTGTTAATTATTTTCCATTTAAAAATTATATTTTGCATTGATCAAAATTGATGTGATATAGAGAATTTCTATACAAAATTTTCAAACCAAACAACATATTTAACATATATTGCTTTTATCCCTATAACATAAAATTGAATAAAACACAATTTTCTCTTATAAAAAATTGTTAAAAATATAAAAAAAAACATAAAATAGGTCAAGTTTTCAAGTTGAACATGCTAAACAGTATTTGATAATAAAACTTGATTTAATTTATAATATTTTTTTTAATTTATACATAATTTATGACTTAGTTTATTTAACTTTGTTTTCTTGTGAAATATTTTGGTGGGTTGGGCCAGAATAAAAAAGTGAGTCCAAGAACACCGACACGAGCCGCCATGAGAATAAAATACATGCAAAAAAAAAAAAAGTAAAACAAGAACCGCGTGGAAGACACAAAATTTAAGAAAATATATTACAATTTTCTTCCTCTTACGTTACATATAATCCTGAGTCAAACTTCCAACCTCATCTCACCTAATCCTTCATTCATCCATTCCAATCCAATCTCTTCTTCCATTCCCATGTTGGCCTGATTCTCTCTCTCTCTCTCACATGGAGCTGCATCACAGAAAGTTGGGTCTACTTGACCCTCCAGCTCCTCCTTACATAGAGGATGGTTCGAAACAAAGCTCCGACAAACACATCAAAATCACATACTTGATCGTCTGTTTTTCCATTGCAGCTGCTGCTTTCGTTGTTCTCTGCTGCTACGCCATCTATGCCAAGTATTTCTCCCCTCGGAACAGGCCTGTGAGGAGAACCTTGTCACGGCCTCAAACTGAGGAAGATTTCTTAGGCGATGAAGAACATGGCCCTGTGGTTGACCACCCCATCTGGTACATCCGCACCACCGGTCTCCAACAATCAGTGATTGGTGCCATCGCCGTTTGCAAGTACAAGAAAGATGAAGGCTTGATTGAAGGGACGGAGTGTTCCGTTTGTTTGAGCGAGTTTCAAGAGGATGAGAGTCTCAGGCTTCTGCCAAAGTGTAACCACGCTTTTCACTTGCCTTGCATTGACACGTGGCTTAGATCGCACACCAATTGCCCCATGTGCCGTGCTCCTATTGTTACTGACCCCACAAGGGTTCCATCCATGGACCCTAATGCTTTTGGTTCGAGGTCTTTTGTGGAGATGGAGGTTTTGGAAAGTGATGGTGGAGGTGAACATGCCCAAGCTCATGCTCATGCTCAAGCACAAGATGGTGAGGATTTGTTGAGGGGTGAGGCAGAGGAAGAAGTTGAAGTGTGTGAAACTGAAAATGTGGTTTCAGAAATGGTGGCTGTGCAGCCAAGAAGATCAGTGTCTCTGGATTCGTCTTCTGCTGCTAAGATCAGTCTTTCTCTTGCAACTGTGGTGTCAGGGGAATCTCATGGGAATAATTCAAAGAGGGTTTCTGGGAATGGGAATTCGGCATCTAAAGGTGGTTGTAGTTCTTCTTCTTCATCCACTAGTTCCATAAAGAGGTCACGATCCTTCAATGCCAAACACTTAATATCATGGTATAGCCGCAGCCAGAGAAAGCCAAACGCTCCATTGAGAAGCTTCTGATCGATTTGTAAGTTCTCGAGAGAAATTACTTAGTACTCTGGAACCTCCTTATTTATAGTCTTCATTGATCTCTATATAACATATACTCAACTTTTTCTGTTCATGAAAAAGATTAGTAGCATAGTTTATATAGAGGTTAATGAAGATCATAAAGGTCCCGGACAACCTAATAGTTCTGCAGTCTATGCCAACAAATGTACTTTCTGACTCTCAACAAGGTGAGGGTTTGAAGGGTTTCTGTGTGAATGAATGAAATAGGTCATGCCATGATCAAAGTGTATGTATAAAGTATAACAGCAAAGCAAAGCAAAGGTGGTGCATGAATTGGGGGATCATCCTTGCCTTGTTTGGTTCTCAAGGTATCAAGTCTGATGTGTGTTCTGGTTCTTTAGAGGCACTGTTTCTCAAGTTATCACAATTTGATTATGAAGGAGTTTTTAGATATTCAAATCCACATGCCTAACTCGTTCCGAAGGTGTAGTCCAAGGATTTATAGTTCCCTTGCATGGTTTTATAATTTGTCACATTGTAACATGTTTTTGAGAGTTCTTCAGTGGATAAGTTTAAAAATGATCATACAATTGGTCCTGTAATAAAGCCCTGACACTAGACAACACACTATATATATCCCTCTCTTGTTCTTTCTTACGTTAAAACCCATTTATTGATCTAGTTTATGCATATCTCAGTATTTGCAACTTTTCCTTGTTACAGATGAGTACAGGTCGTCGCTATTTAACATTCATTCTTCCTCAAAGACATTTCCTCGAACAACTTGCAGACCATAGAGAAATTGCCCAACTGTTGAGAAATTATATATTTTATTTGTGACTTATAATTTCAATAAAGTACTAAAGATATATTTTCATCCTTTTATTTCAGTTTCTCAATTCTTTGATTTCATCAATTTTTTTCTTCTCACTACATTCTAAAAATGTTATAAATGGAAGGATTCTCATGAGTAAATATAAACAAAGGATTAGAAGCACCGCTGTGGTTGCAGTATTTTTCTTTTATAAAGAAGGGTAAAATAAAAAAGAAGTACAATACACTTATTTGCTTGATCAAATATTTAAATAAGTAAATAAAAATTATTAAGTGTTAGAAATTTGGAGTTCACTATTAACAGAAAACAAAATTATAGGAACAGTAACAAAAATATCTCTATAAATATAGTCATTAATCGATTACTTAGACTTTAACTTTCACAACTCTTAACAAATTATCCCTTAAACCAAAATATTTGAAAATATTTTATTTAAAAAAAGACACGATTAAATTGACAAATCTTTTCGGAGTGTAAACACCCAAAAACTTTCTTAATTTTTGAAAAACAACTATATTTAGAGATTTAGTAAAAATATTAGTAACTTGATTTTCACTTCTACGATAAATCAAATCAATGACTCCATTATTTGTGAGATTTCTCAAATAATGATACTTGACATCTATATGTTTGCTTTGTCCGTGTAGTACAAGATTTGTTGAAAGTTTGATTGTTGAATTATTGTCACAATCAATTGTTGTTAGCCCTTGTAGCAATATGTATAGTTCTTCAAGTATTTTCCTCATTCAAACAGCTTAATAGTTTCCTCATCCAAACAACTTGATAGGCACATGTTGTTGCAGACACAAACTCTTTAGTTGTAGATAACGTGACAATTGTCTGTTTCTTTGATGATCATGAAACAACCCTTGAGCCTAACATAAATGCATATCCTGAAGTACTCTTTCTATCATCTAGATCACCAGTATAATCACTATCAGTAAAGCCAAATAAATCTGTTTTTTCATCCCTTTTATGGAGCAGACCATAACTAGCAATGCCTTTCAAATATCGAAGTATTCTTTTTGCAGCTAAAAGATGAATTTCCTTTGGACTTTCCATGAACCTGCTAATGAGACTTACAACATGCATAATGTCTGGTCTTATGGCAGCCAAATACATCAAACTTCCCACCATTTGCTTGTAGATAGTGCTCAACCTTCCTCCCTTCAAGATCTTTAATAAGTTTCATTCCCACTTTAGTAGGAGTGCAAACAAAGTTGCAATTCTTCATCTAAAACCTGTTTAAAATATCTTGCACATATTTCTTATGAGAAATGAAAATTCCAGCAATAGATTGCACCATTTCAATGCCCAAAAAATAATGAAACATTCTAAGATCAATCATATCAAATTCAATCATCATAGACTCTTTGAACTTGTTAAACATGATAACATCACTCTTAGTAAAAATAAGATCATCAACATATAAGCAAACAATAATAATCTTATATTTATCACAAACCTTAGTAAAGAGTGTATGTTCATATGGGCACTTGTGAAAGCCTTCTTTTATAAAGTACGTTTCAATGCAACTATACCAAGCCCTTGGGGCTTATTTCAATCCATACAATGTCTTCTTTAATTTAAATACCTTGTGCTCATTTCCTTTCTTCACATATCCAGGAGGTTGATCAACAAACACTTACTCTTTCAAATCACCATGTAGAAATGTTGTTTTCACATCTAATTAAAAAATGGGTCATGAGTTTTAGGCTACAATAGCAATTACCAATATAATTGTATCATGACGAGCAACACGAGTAAACACCTCTTTATAATCAACATCAAATTGTTGCTTATAGCCTTTAGCTACTAAGCGTGCCTTGAATTTGTCAACTTCACCATTTTCTTTTAGCTTATTCTTATAAACCCACTTTACACCAATTTTTTTGTGCCCTTTAGGAAGATGAGTCAGATCCCAAGTATTGTTGTACTCTATGACTACAATTTCTTCATCCATTGTCTTCCTCCATTTGGGCTCTTTGACAACTTCTTCAAAAACTACTAGATCACAATTTGCAAATAGAGCAAAATCAGTAACTACCTCTTCATCCATGCAGTTCTCCTTATGTTTTGTTGTGGATGTTCATTTATTGATTTAGCTGTTTGTTGCTCACGTTCATCCACTTGTTCATCTTGTTGCTCACTTTGTACTTGTGTTATTGGTGGTTGTCGCCCTTCTTCATCTTCACTGTTAAAATCAATTTGTACTTGATGTTCCACTTTACTTGTATCCCAATTCCAAAATAGACCCTCATCGAACACCACATCACGACTAATCACCATTTTATTGGTGATAAGATTATACAATTTGTAAGCTTTTGATTACTCATTAACATCAAGAAAAATTCATTTTTCTCCTTTATCATCAAGTTTTTCCCTCCTCTGATCTGGGATATGAACATAAGTAACACCCAAAAATTTTGAAATAATCTACTGTCGATTTTTTATTGCTCCAAGCTTCTTGTATATTTTGAACAACTACAGTGGGGCTTCTATTAAGGATATGTATGCTCCAATTAACTGCTTCAGACCATAAAGTTTTTGGAACTCCACTGCTCATTAAAAGACTTTGTACCATGTTCAAAATTGTGCGATTCTTCCTTTCACAAATGTCATTTTGCTAAGGTGTGTATGTTGCAATTAATTATTTCTTTATTCCTTGCTCATCATAGAAATTAATAAATTCTTCTGAATTGTATTCTCCATTATGAGTACTATGTAATACCTTGATTGGAGTCTCTGCTTCTTTTTCAACTAAAGATTTAAAACTTTTAAAAGCTGTGAGAGCTTCAGATTTTTCGTGCAAATAATAAGCCCAAATTTTTCTACTAAAATCATTAATGAACGATATAAACTATCGTTTACCTCTATTTGACATCGGAGTGATGGGTCCACACAGGTTTGTATGCACAAGCTCCAACGCCTTCCTTGCTTTCCATGATTTGCCTTTCTGAAATGGTTCCCGATATTGTTTACCAATGACAAATTCTTCACATATTTGAAAAGAAGTTTGTATTTGCAGGAGTCATGTCACCATATTCTTTTGTTGCAGTTTCTTTAAACCTCCAAAAATTAAATGTCCATACTGAAAATGCCAAAGCCAACTTTCATCTTTCAACCTTGTAGTAAAACATGAGTTGGTGATGATGTGGAGGTATATTGGAAACATCCTATTAGATGTCATATCAAATTGGGCAATTAATCCCAATTTTTCATCTTGAATTTTGTAAGTTCCATCTTTAATAGAAATCTCATATCCCTTTTCTTGTAATTGGCCAATACTCAACAAATTTGTTTTTAAATATGGAACAAAGGAGACATTAGATATAGTCTGAACAATATTTCTTTTTGTTTGAATTATTACCTCTCATTTTCTCATTATAGAGATTCTAGAATCATCTCCAAACTTTACATTGTCACGAAAAGATTCGTCTAACATCGAAAACGCAGACTTGTCATCGCTCATATGGTTGCTGCAACCTATATCCAAGTACCATAAATTCTTCTGCTTTTCTTCTTTGGCATTACAAGCCATCAACAAAGATACTTCTTGTTCATTTTCTACAAAGTTAGTTCTTTCTCCATTTTCATTATCCAAATTAACTCGGCATTCTGATTTATAATAACCATACCTATGACATCGAAAACACTTAACATTTGCCTTGTCTACTGACATTCTAGAGTAATGAATTTCTCGTCCTCTTCCCTGGTGATGATGATTTTGATAACCACGACCTTCTCCTTGGTGATGATTTTGATAACCATGACTTTCTCCTTGATGATGATTTTGGTAACCACGACCATGGTATCTTCTACCTCTACCTTTATTGTTTCCTCTATCACAACCTCCTTTGTTTGTGAAATTATTATACGTAGAAACCTTCAATGCATGTTCCTCCTTCTCCTGTTGGCAAATTTTCCGCTCATGAATCAATAAAGAACTTTGCAACTTATCAATTGAAAGTTCCCCGACTACATGAGCTTCTTCAATGGAAGAATCTACAAAATTAAAGTTTGGAGTCATGGAACGAAGTATATTCTCAACCACAACAACATCCTCTATTTGTCACCATGAATAGTATCTTGTTGACAATGACCATTGTACGTGAAAAGTAATCGGTTATAGACTCACCAGATTTCATTCGTAGGGTTTCAAACTCCGAACGAAGGCCTTGAAGTTGTTGCCTTTTCACCCTTGCAGAACCCTGATTTTTTTTTTCATGGAATCCCAAATATGCTTGGATGTATCTTTACAAAGGATGGTCTCCAAGATTGAACAATCAATTACTTGAAAAAGATAATTTTTGCCTTTAAATCTTTCAAGCGCAGCCCTTCTATCTCATTTTTCTGAGCCTCTGTGTGACATCTACTGGTTCCTAAATGCCCTCCGAAACAACTTGTCAATACTCTTTGGATCTCAAAAAAATTTTCATCAACATACTCCAATGATCAAGTGTCCATCAAAGCGAGGAATGAATGGTTGGACAAAATTATCTATCATTATTTTGTTTACAGGGGCTCTGATAATACTATTACAAACAAAGGAATGGAAGGACTCTCACAAGTAAATAAATATTGACAATTACAAACAAAGGAATGAAAGGACTCTTATGAGTAAATAAATACTATTGTTACAATATTGTTCTTTTATAAAAAAAAAAAGGTAAAATAAAGAAGGAGTACATAGTAATATTAAAGTGTTGGGTACAGTTATTCACTTAATCAAATCTTTATATAGGTAAATACAAATTATTAAGTGCTAGAAATTTGGAATACATTACTAACAGAAAATAAAACTACAAGAGCACTAACAAAAATATTTCTAAAAATATGACCATTAACCAACTTTTTAAACTTTAATTTTCGCATGTTTTCATACACGTATGCACATTCTTAACATAATTAGGATCTATTACTTAAGATCTATTACTTGAATTAAAATATATAAAGATAAATATGATTCTTTTTAATATCTTTCTTACTTCATATATTTGTCTGTTCAAATTTAGATTAATGTATTTTGTGATTAAGAAATTATAACATTTTATTTTAAAAAAAATCATATGTATTTAAATTTATTTTTTAAAAATAGTTTTAGTTGAAGTATTATTTTAACTTTTTAAGTTTACTACGCATAATATTATTTATAATATTTAAATTATTGTATATTTATTAGAGTATTATATCATAATTTAACTAAAAAAAATTTGAGAAACCATTTTAAAGAATATAAAGAATTATTATTTTTATACGAGGTATGTCAAACAAGTTTTTAGTTGTTCTGTTTTAAATATTTTAATTATTAATTTTCTTTCAACTCTTAGCTAAAGTATATATAGAATTAAATATTTATTTTTAATTGATAAAATTATTATTATCATAAATATTAATTACTTCTAGTATGTTAATATATAAGCATTTTAAAAATAGAATCGCACGAACGGGTTTAACGGAAAATCGATATAAAAATCAATTTTAAAAATATTAAAGAAATCAATCAAGTTTTTTAGTGAAACCAATTTTAATTAAAACAAAGATCAATTTTTTTTTATTTCTCAAAAAGAAATTTTTTTATAAAAATATTTTATATTTTTTTCTTTTATATAATATATTTTAAATTTATAATATCTATTATAACAAATTTATTATTATTATAAATATTTTATTTTAATAAATTTTTTTATTATTAATAAATTTATTATATTAATTGTAATGTGATTATATATATATATATATATATATATATATATATATATATATATATATATATTTTGTGAAAGAAAAAAAACATAATAGTATGCCAAGACTTCTTGGTTTTCACCAAACCTCTTGGAAGAGTCAAACTTGTGACATAAGAGATAGTTACGCAACAACAAACGAATTCGTGACTGTGTAGGTGTTACTCTTAAAGTTAGACACGTTTCGGATAACTATGAACCCAATAATGAAGATTTGAAGAAAACACACAAAGTAGGAAGAATTTAACCCGATTTCCTTCAACTTGAAGTGGCAAGGCTTACTCGTATTGGCCACTTTCCATCTTTCTCTTCATTCTAACTTATCGATTAAAATTTCTATGACTTCAACAGCTTCTGAGGTTGACCAAGTAAAATCCAACAATAGAACAAGTTTCACAAGCGTGAAAGCACTAACTGAATCACCACAACTCACTTCCCTCCCACCCTCATACACCTACACCACCAATTCAGATGATGAGATAGTGACCGACCCAGATGAAGATGACCCAATTCCTGTCATTGATTATTCTCTCTTGGTTTCTGGAACACCTGATCAACGGGCCAAAATCATCCAGGACTTGAGCAAGGCTTGTGAGGAGTGGGGGTTCTTCATGCTCATCAATTACTTTGTGTCAAAGAGCATCATGGAGAAAATGGTTGATGAAGTTTTTGCTTTCTTCAATCTTAGAGAGGAGGAGAAGCAAGAGTTTGCAGGTAAGGATGTGATGGACCCTATAAGGTATGGCACCAGCTCCAATGTTTCAATGGACAAAGTCTTATTCTGGAGGGATTTCCTCAAAATAGTGGTGCATCCACAGTTTCACTCACCTGACAAACCACCTGGGTTCAGGTTCTACATTACTCTCTTCCACCTTTTCTCTAAACTCTTAAGAGCCTATTTGATGACAGTTATAATTTGAAAGATTCTTAAACTTGAGAACCAATTTCTTATCATCATTGGATCAATATTATTTATTACATAAGCAACAATTCTTAAGATATGATACATAGATGTTGCATGCTAGAGATATATATGATATGACAAGTTTATGATACATATTTAGATATTTATAAAAAATCATAAACCATGACATATATAGTTGTAATTCTGCAAATCCAAACTGAAACATACTTTAAATCTACATGAGCTAGTTAGATTATTGCTGGTGACCCTAAAGGCAGAGAAATGTGTATCAAGTAGTAACTAACCATTAGGTTAAGATATTCTGTATGCTAAATTTAGCATGTTTTGCTGTTGAAGGGAGGCATTAGCAGAGTACAGTAGAAGAACCTGGAAAGTGGGAAAAGAACTACTAAAAGGAATATCAGAAAGCTTGGGATTGGAAGCCAATTACATAGAGGATACAATGAACCTAGATTCTGGTCTCCAAATGATAGCTGCAAATCTGTATCCACCTTGTCCACAACCCGAGCTTGCAATGGGAATACCCCCTCATTCTGATCATGGTCTCTTGAATCTCCTCATGCAGAACGGGGTTAGTGGCCTTCAAGTGCTTCATAATGGCAAGTGGATCAATGTCAGTTCCACTACTAACTGCTTGCTAGTATTTGTGTCTGACCACCTTGAGGTACACAACAACAAATCCTGGTTAAAATTCTGTTAGAATATATGATTAGTTACTTTGTTTAGAAGTTAGTAACATATGGTTAGCACAATAAGATCTGTAGACATGAGTTATGTGTAATTCATTTTATCATCTTTTATCAATCAATATGTTACTTCCAAAGACTTATTTTCTCTACTTGGCCAATGCTTATGATATCTATCCCTCTCATCCTCTGCTTATGTGTTTCTCTTCTAACAACAGTTTTAATTATATGATAGCCTCGTACCCTTTTGTTTTCGCATTAGGTTGTGAGCAATGGCAAGTACAAGAGTGTAATGCATCGAGCAGTAGTGAGCAACAAAGCTACAAGAATGTCCTTAGCAATAGTAATTGCACCATCCATGGAAACTGTGGTGGAGCCAGCAGAAGAGCTTCTAGACAATCAAAGCAATCCTGCAGCCTACATTGGGATGAAACATAGAGACTATATGCAACTTCAGGGAAGCAACCGGCTTAATGGGAAGTCTGTGCTAGACAAAGTTAAAATCTCAATTTGAATCATACAGAGTTACCTTTAGCAATAAAAGTTAGAGTTTGAGGCCAATGTTTTGTGAAGTACAATAAGCTACCCAAAGGGATATAGTTTTCTATTATGAATCAGATGAGGACATCTTGATTTGATTTTACAAGCCCGTACTAGACAACTCAATTTCTAAAGTGCAAGATTAATTTTACATGTTTAATAAAATCAAAATATCCTATTTTTTTTCTTTTTATATTTAAATGTACTGTATTTTATGTTTATATTTATTCTAAGTCTTTTACCAATTGTTGTCTTATATATTTCAAACAATAGTAGTTCAAAAAGGGGGTGGCAATGCCAGGCATTATATCTTATAGGAGACCATAGCTAATAGAAAATAGTTTTTACTTTTTTCGTTCATATAGAAAGGGTGTTTCTTTTTTCTTTCCAAGTTATAACAACTACATGTATATAGTGTTAGATGATGTTTGACTCATTGTTCAGAAATCCATGTTTATTGGAGTAACTTAGGCAGAAAAATGCAGTAGCCATTACACCTCTCTATTTTTTCTGCCTTAGCCTTAGGACTAGTTGTATTTATATTCTGCATCAGAAAGTTGCTGTGAATTGGAATGGAGTTTCATACCTTCCTTAAAAACCGAGTGTGTTAATAACAGTCAGGTTCTGTAGTATGTAATACGGATACACTATATACATCAGTACGTATTTTACATTTGTAATAAGTTCTAATATATAAATTATTATACTTGTTAATAATTTTTTTAAATAGCTAAAAAAATTATAATATCTCTATTTTATGTGACTTTTTACTGTTATATTCTTATTGAGAGAATGTTAGATAGAATGAGAGTGTAATTTTATACGAATTATTGAACCATTCATTGAAATTAACACGTCTTGATGTTGCCATTGTTGACATGTACTTCATTTCATAGCCAATATTTACCATGACTCAAAAAAACGTAATGAAATATGCAGATTAAGCCCTCAAAAGCTTATCATTATCAAACACAATAGGATTTATATCACAGTGTTCATCCTCATCACTCTTCGTTGCATTGCACACCCTGTTCTACCTTCAAACTCCACCATCAAGGGAAAGTTCCATCTTCAGCGTCACTTACAACTCCATCCACCAACCACACCAATGAGCTAAATTCTATGATCCATAAGCTTCATTCCTTGGTCATGTTTCTTCCACTCAAGAATCTCGTTAAGCACGTGCAGGCCTTGAAGGCCACACATGATTCATGAGTTCCATGTATGACACCACGAAGATGGTGAGGTCCAATACAGCAATTCCCATCAGAATCATCACACAGGGTCGGATTCTTTGTCCCAAAGGACATAACGGGTCGTTGAACTATTATCATTTGGCATGGATTGAGGCTGTGCCTATACCCCCACCTTCATGAGAGGTTTAATTTTCTATCATATTCATTACAACTACGAGAATTTGGCATAGTTATGTGCTATGGTCCCATTTGTGGCTTGACATGATAAACAGTTGCTCCATGTTGCCCTCAAGTTGGGTCTTGTAACATTAGGGTGAGGTCAGGTTCAAGATGGACCTGCGGGCTAGTTCCTTTATGGAGGCCACGTTTAATGGGCCACCAATTTTTGAAAGGTTTGTTGGAGGTGATGAAGATGGGCCAGTGCTTTTTGAGGAGGCTGTAGTTATAAGGCACAAGGAGGTGTCATCTCAAGGGAAAAAAGGTGTATGTAGGAACCAATGGTAGAACATTACCAATGATATGAATGACCTTGTTTTTCAGGACAGGCCCAAGATCTTTTTAGAATGAAACAAATGTGACTGAAATCTTTCAAAGGGACTGTGCCAAGATGGAATGTTGCTGGTTTATGGTAGCTCATTCCAATATATACTCTCACCTTCTGTGACCAGGTAAATGGTTACTGATCTCATTAATCTATTGATTAGCAATATACATGTAGGGACTCAAATCCTATGTCTCTTTTCATGTTCCCAATTCTGTCCCATAAGAAAGTACTTTAGTCAAACAAAATACAATATTGCCAAAGAGTGATTTAATTGTTTTAGTTGGTACTTGGCGGAATTTTATTTGAAGATTAGATTCAACTGGGAACAACGAAATAAGTTTGAATTTAAATACAAACTTGATTTTGTAGCACAGATGAAAATGAGATCCATATTTTTTCCACTACAAAATTTGTCATCTTTTATATTCTCTTTATTAAGGCCCACAAATATTCATCTTTCAAGCAAGAGAAGCACCACAAAACAGTCATCGTCACATTCACATACAGAAAAGATAAACAATAACTAGATGTACATCGTTTGCCCAAATGAGTTACGTAATTTTTGTTGAATGCAGGTGAAGTTGATATTTTGATATCTTCACATGGTGCCCAGTTGGCCAATAGTTTCTCATGGAAAGAAACAGCAGTTTCATGGCTTAAACTTGCTGGTGTTGGTCAATATGTTTACCATTTGATAGCTAGCTGGTTAAGAATGAAACATCAAGGAAGCTGGAAATGGAGATAACTCAGTCCATGTTCAGAAGATGACGATCCAAGCCTGAACGGTAGAATTAGACTATTATGTGATAAAAAGTTGATATAATTATACGTTGAATTATTATGAAATCACTTCATTTATGATAATTCTAATATATTTTTCTTCCAATATAAGATGAATTTGAGAATACCTTGATACAAGAGTAAATAGCATAATTATCAATATAAGTGGAGTAAAACTGGAAGAAGAAAAAAGATTTTCAGCATGGAAGTCGCTCGAGTAGGATGAACTCTCGCTTGAGTGAATATCAAATATTATTCTCTGGAAGTCAGTCGCTCAAGCCCAAGAAAATTCGTTTGAGCGAATATCAGTTATTCTTCTCTGGAAGTCAGTCGCTCAAGCGCAAGAAGATTCACTTGAGCGAATGTTAGTTATTCTTTTCTAGAGTTCACTCGCTCAAGCGAGCGTTTTGTCGCTTGAGCGAAAACAGGAAACTTTCGCTTGAGCGAAAGTTCTCGCTCGAGCGAAAGGCGCGAAGCATAAAAGTCCAAATTTTTCTTACAAAAAGAAAATATGTGTTTTGAGAAAAAGCAAGCGGTTTTGGAGGAGAAGAGACGTGACTACTGCTAGGGTTTTGTCCAATCTTCATCAATTCTCCACTTCCACATTTAGATCATTGTAATGACCAACATGAGTGGCTAGCTTCATTCTCTTAGCATTTGGTGCATTTCCTTTGAACTCTTTTGTATCATAGTGATATTTTGATATATTAATCTATGTTTTGATGTTGTTATTCTTATCCTTTGTGCTTTTAGAATGATTTATTTTTTATGTTTAGGGTATATGATTGGAAAATATATCTTAAACCTTAGATCACGATAAGAATATTTGTTACGTTAATTGCCAGGAATGAAATGAATGTATCAATTGCTTAACATCCTAAACTTAATGTTGGAAAATCTCTTAATTGTGTGTGGAATCAACATTTATTAGGTTTTCTTATGAATTTCATGTGTAAGAAATCAACATGGATGATTTGAGTAGGTGACATCAATATTGTTAGGTTAATTGACGTTCTTAAGTGATAAGGAAGGAAGGAAAATCAATCCTAAGTACCTTTAATTAATATTTTCTCAACAATTTACAGTTTTTTGTCATTTAATTTCAATTCAACTCTTATTGCAAAATTCAATCTGTTTTAATCTACTTAGTAAGCATAATTGGGAATTTCCATTAAAATTGTTCCTCGTGGGATTGACTTTTATTTAATCGTAATACTATATTGCGATTGATATTTTTGGTACGCTTGCCAATAATTCAACATGGACACAATGAAACCCATTTTTTGATTGAGCTTGAAATATTTTGGCTGAATAGTCAAGACAAGAAAGATTGGAGAAAGTTTAAGAGAAAAGCTTAGTCCTTTTGGTTGCACTACTCACTAAATAAACAACATATACTTCTTTCTTATGATTATATCATCAAGGTTATTGAATTGAAGTGTCAAGGTTATACACGCGTGTCTTAAGGTGGGAATTATATGAAAAAGCATTAATTAATCATATTCCACATCTCAATGAAAATGCATTTATATTTGTATATTCGCTAAGACAACGTAATGGAAACCAGTGATCATTAGATGTAGTGTGAATGGTAGAATTAAACTGTTAAGTGATAAAAAGTTGATATAATTATGCCTTGAATTGTTATGAAACCACTTAATTTATGTTAATTCTAATATATTTTTCTCTCAATATAGGATGAATTCGAGAATACCTTGATATAAGAGTAAAGAGCATAATTGTCAGCATAAGTGGAGTAAAACTGGAAGAAGGAAAAAGATTTTCAGCATGGAAGTCGCTCGAGCGGGATGGACTCTCGCTTGAGTGAATATCAGTTATTCTTCTCTGGAAGTCAGTCGCTCAAGCCTAGGAAAATTCGCTTGAGCGAATATCAGTTATTCTTCTCTAGAAGTCAGTCGCTTAAGCGCAAGAAGATTCACTTGAGCGAATGTTAGTTATTCTTCTCTGGAGTTCACTCGCTCAAGCGAGAGACAACTTTCGCTTGAGTGAAAGATGCGAAGCCCAAAAGCTCAAATTTTTCCTACAAAAAAAAGATGTATTTTGAGAAAAGGCAAGCAGTTTTGGAGGAGAATAGGTGTGACTACTGCTAGGGTTTTGTTCAATCTTCATCAATTATTCACTTCTTCCACATTTAGAGCATTGTAATGACCAACATGAATGACTAACTTCATTCTCTTAGGATTTGATGTACTTCCTTTGAACTCTTTTGTATCATGGTGATATTTTGAGATATTAATCTATGTTTTGATGTTGTTATTCTTATCCTTTGAGCTTTGGAATGATTTATTCTTGATGTTTGAGCTATGATTGGAAAATATATCTTGAACCCTAGATCAAAGTAATAATATTTGTTACGTTAATTGTCAGGAATGAAATGAATGTATAAATTGTTTAACACCCTAAACCTAATGTTGGAGAATCTCTTAATTGTGTGAGGAATCAACATTTATTAGGTTTTCTTATGAATTTCATGTGTGAGGAATCAACATGGATGATTTGAGTAGGTGACATCAACATTGTTAGGTTAATTGATGTTCTTAAGTGACATAACCATTACAAAAGAGGGATAAGGAAGGAAAATCAATCATAAGTACCTTTAATTGATATTTTCTCAACAATTTACAGTTCTTTGTCATTTAATTTTAATTCAACTCTTATTGCAAAATCCAATCTGTTTTAATCTGCTTAGTAAGCATAATTGAGAATTTTCATTAAAACAGTTCCTCGTGGGATTGACTTTTATTTAATCAAAATACTATACTACGATTGATAATTTTGGTATGTTTGCCAATAATTCAACATGACCACAATGAAACCTATTTTTTGATTGAGCTAGAAATATTTTGGCTGAATAGTAAGACAAGAAAGATTTGAGAAAGTTTAAGAGAAAAGCTTAGTCCTTTTGGTTACGCTACTCACTAAATAAACAACATATACATCTTTCTTATGTTTATATCATTAAGGTTATTGAATCGAAGTGTCAAGGTTATACCGCGTGTCTTAAGGTGGAAATTATATGAAAAAGCATTAATTAATCATATTCCACATCTCAATGAAAATGCATTTATATTTGTATATTCGCTAAGACAACGTAATGGAAACCAGTGATCATTAGATGTAGTGTGAAAATCTTCAAAGAAAAACGAGACCAATAGAAGGAAATTTGAATGGTTTTGGGTCAACATGTCTATTACTGTGATCTTTCAGGATCCACCAACCAATACATAGGTGGATCCCCCGAAATGATTATTGCAACGAAACAAATATATCAAAATCTACTACTGAAACGGTCCTTATAATTAAGTCAGGGTTCTTCAATTTCAGTATAAGGAATGCAAATTCTGATATGTTGCCAATGCACCATGCAGTTGCAAGTAAACTTACCCTTGGCTTAATCAACTAGGCACAATTTCATCATCCTTTAGTGCTCTTTTGTCACAACAAAGCAACCAGTGGCTTCTATTAAGCCCATGCACGGTGTTTCTCCACATTGTAAAAATTCAAACCATACTTGAGAATGTTTACAAATTCAATTCCATAACAATAATGCAATTGCAATATTCTCTGGCATTGTTTGTGTTGTTGGTTGTTGGTTGCTGGGATCATTTTGTTGCCAAACCCGCAAATGAACGTGCAACTAATTATTGTGTCATCCATGTGAGTTTATGAATGACAAAATAACAAGAAACCTAATACAATTAAAAATTCTGTAACATTATACAAAAATATAAACTAAAGTAAAAAACTTTAATTGTAGGTAGGGATCATTAACAGATTAGTCTAACATAACCCTTATATTTTTTACTTCAGAATATTCAATACATCATATTTGTTTCTCTTCTTCTTCAGTTGACTAAAACATATATCAAAAGGACTTGGTTCTTTCATTTGTAGTAAAGTCTCATGAATAATATGTTGTACCATACATGTATGTGTCAAAGCACCATTTCCAAAATTGATTTCAGTTTCGCAAAAAGCTGGCCAATTTTTTCTGTGCTATTCCATGTTTCTGACATAAATGGGAACCATTGTCCAATGTGCTCATCAAATTTTCTTATTCTATACTGTAAAGACTAAATGAAGCACAAACCGTAAAATGAAAAGTGAGTTCAAAGCATTGAAATTAAATGGTTAACTTTTCTACATTCTATAGTGCCTATTATCTTTTCAGAGTCCACCAAATCTTAAAAGCACTGGATGATGCACCCCAATAATTCTACATTATGGGTTAAATGATTGCTGCAATATGGTGAAAATTTCACCCGAATTCATAAAACTAGAGGGTACAGAACGTGCATTATATAGGAAGAGAAATGCATTATTATATTTGCATGGGTATTGGAGGAAGAAATGGAGACAGAAAAATGAAAATTAGAAATGGAGAGGGCATGTATGTGTTGATTGTAGCGAAGGGATCAATGCATCATGGTTGGTCAATCCCCTCACCCCAATGGGCAGGGCATGTGGGGCTAGAATTGGAGCCTACGAGGCACAACTCCCACTGCCTACTTTGAATCTCTCCCTTTCACATATTTTCACAAAAATAGTGATTCATGAACAGTATAAAATGTGTACAGTTTTTGGAAAACCCTAATCTTGTTATCCTAAGTTTCTCACGTATCTTTAAATTAGGTGTATTTTCTTAATGTTGATACTTCATTTGGTCATGAGAATTTAATTGTGAGTTAAAGTTATATTAGATAAAAATAATAAAAATAAATAATTTATACGTGAGAAAGATATATAATTTAATGATTTTGGGTTGAAAGTTGATTTCATATTTTTTTATATTATTGATCTTTATTTCATTTGTAAGAATTTTTCTAATATTACCTTAAAAATATCTAATAATATCAAAAGAAGAGATTGGGGATCTTTTAATTATCTATAAGTTATTTGAAGGTTATTTTTTATAGGGTTCTCTTAGACCTTTTAAGCTAAGTA